GTATCAACATCTACACCTCGCTAGTCACACTCTTTGATGTTGTTGTTGTTTTAGATTCAGGTACTCGTTACAAAAAGTTGCAAGTAGCCCGGGCTATGGTGAGCCCGTAGTGGACTTACCTGGCATAGGAGCGGGGCAAGTAGCACGGGCTATGGTGAGCCCGTAGTGGACTTACCTGGCACAGGAGCGGGGCAAGTAGCACGGGCTATGGTGAGCCCGTAGTGGACTTGCTCTCTCTTTGCATATTAGTGGCTTTATACCAAATACAATTTTTGTTCCTAATAATTTACCACTTATTATATTATTGTGACCCATACCACTGGGTATACCAATACACAGAATATACCTAACTATGTATTAAACACAGATTAGAACTTTGGATAAATCCCATCAATTGAGAAAACAAAGACACGCAATTGGCGCAAACACAGACGTGCAGGAGCTGTTCGCGCGATGTAACCGTCCAATGTGGGGCTCGCAGCTTAACAATATAACCAGATTCAAATACCTTACGATTGCGTGAACAGTCACATGATGGCCAGACTGGGTCGCCAATGTAGGAGACGGGTTCTGGACTCAAAGCTGTCGCTAGGTATCGGCCAATCTCTGGGACGTCAATCAGAATTGCAAAACTAGTTATATATATTATAGATATACCAGTTGTATAGCAAAGCATCTATATTAATTGATTATATCACGCCTACGCTTGCACTGTAGTGACTGAAATAATGATATGAGGGTTTTTAATAAAATAAAAATGTTAAGAATGTGAAAATATTAGAAACAAAGCAGACTTTTACACGTTACTGCTGCTAGGCTTTTAGATTCGCTACTAACATATATAACTGGCAGTTTGCACCAACTGAACTAGATTTGAGTACAAACAAACCTGTAATTAGTTGACCATAGATGTAAATTGCTCAGCTTAAGAACCTTAAGAGTCCAATACATGAACTCAATATGTAATCCTGTGAGACGTTTCCGCCAGCGCCCACATGATGGGTATGGAGATCCATAATAAACTAACATCTTAGTGCAGCCTAACTCGGGCGAGCCATTGCTAATCTAACATTCAGGCGGCATCCATGAATATACTCGATAGTATGTTCGTATTCTATAATTTCTGGCATACGATGGTCGTGAATAGGAAGCCTCATCAAGATCCTCTCCTCCTTTCTTTTTAGCACAGTCACCCATTCACTTACAGGCCAAACCAAACCCTTGCTTAACCTGTAAGGCCGAATGACACGCACGCCATCCACTGCGCCACAGGAATGCTGACTCAACCTCTGCGTACAGATCACCAATTGGAAATTAGATATAGTTTAGGGGGCACGTGTCCTTGATCGTGAGGTGCACGTGGCCACAGCATCCCCAGGTTCGTGTCTCGCGACACTGCTGAAGTCTTTGACGTCACTGCATGCCGGGTAAAATCATCTATTCAAAAACTTACACAACCAATTGGGTGATAGCTTTAAGAGCAGCTGTTAAATTATACACACAGTTTTGTATATGATGACATACATGGGTACGTTTATGCGGATAACATCGATAAATGAAAGGGTCAGATTTTTAGCTAGGGATAGGGGATTTTTAGCATCATGTAGCTAGTTTTTTAACACGCTGTACTTCCCTCCATATAGTCTAGGGTAGATACACAAATGCAGATGTACCTAAATGTGTTAATTAAAACAAATATGAGAGGTGAGTAAACTAATATCCTTATCTCAGAGGATGGATATTCACAGGAGACTTCACAAGCAAACTTTAGATCCATTATAAGAATATCCTCTAGAACTCGAGTGTGGAGAAAGAAACTGCAAAGATCCAGGTACCACATATACTGGAAGGTACTACATACAAAGTATGTATTAAATACACATATTTAATAATGCAATTTTATAACGTATAACTCAGTTTCTGTTAAAAAAGTTTACACATGGAACGATCAGGACCAAATGAGTATGGGATGCACAATTTACTACCCCCTTTATTCAATTATGGGATGAATATGGAATATACAATAAACAACCGCCCATGGGATGAGTATGGGGTGCACAATAAATTACCGCCCACAGGATGAGTATGGGGTGCACAATAAATTACCGCCCACAGGATGAGTATGGGGTGCACAATAAATTACCGCCCACAGGATGAGTATGGGGTGCACAATAAATTACCGCCCACAGGATGAGTATGGGGTGCACAATAAATTACCGCCCACAGGATGAGTATGGGGTGCACAATAAATTACCGCCCACAGGATGAGTATGGAATGAACAATAATCTACCGCCCACAGGATGAATATAGGATGCGCAATAAACTACCCTCAAAGGGTGGGTATGGAATAAACATTAAACTACCGCTCAAAGGATGAGTATGGGACTCACAATAAACTACCGCTCAAAGGGTTAAGTATTAATGCACAATAAGCAAGGCAACTTGTGGCAACAAGTCAGACGTGAACGTCTAAGACATTGTTAAAGGACAAGTGCTGTTTGTTCACTAAATAAGTTGAAAGGAAAATATGAATACCAGCCTAAACACGTCTACTTATAATACACGACGAGTAGTATACAATACACATTTTTAATGAGAATCTTTCCCGTAATTCATTGTCCATGAGAAGTATGCGTATCGGGGCAGTTTAAAGCTTTGTAAGGAAAGCAACCCAGAATGTTGTTTGGTGAAACCTTTCCATAGAAGCTTGTGAGAGCTTCTATGGAAAGACATCATCAAGCATCACACCGTGACTTGCGTCACGGTGTAATGCTTGACAGATCTTTCAATTGTACCAGTGGAATGTCAGCACTTAGAATTGACTTGATATATTCAATCATAGCCTATTGTGGCAGGTATTCTGGATCTCTACGCTATACGTCTTGCACAATATTGTTATATTATAACAATGTTATAAATATTATAAAAGTTAAGGCTATTATACCAAAAATAAGAATGCTACTCCCCTTCCTCTATAGTCTATACTCATTAAAATACGAACTTGCTGGGTGAGGCAGAGAATAATAATATTTCGTGATGTCGAGGAGGGAAAGCTTATATACACAGATTTATAGACGCCCCCCTACGGTATCTCCCTGACCTGCTTCTTGATGTATCTTATCTTGAGATGATTTCGGGGCTTTAGTGTCCCCGCGGCCCGGTCCTCGACCAGGCCTCCACCCCCAGGAAGCAGCCCGTGATAGCTGACTAACACCCAGGTACCTATTTTACTGCTAGGTAACAGGGGCATAGGGTGAAAGAAACTCTGCCCATTGTTTCTCGCCGGCGCCCGGGATCGAACCCGGGGCCACAGGATCACAAGTCCAGCGTGTTGTCCGCTCGGCCGACCGGCTCCTGTGGGTCACACATCGGCTACATATATCGTTCGGCAGGCACCTGTGTCAAAGTTCCTGGAGGCTATTTGAAAGTTGACGATTTCGACACATCCGTTAATGTGTGTCTCTATGTTATGTCTAGGATATCATGTCTACTTGCTAATATTTCCTCATTTTCTGATACAGAAAGTTTCCTTCACTTGTAAATTGTAAAACTCGACACCAAACTACAAGCTTATAAACCTCTCGTGCGGACCAATGAAAACAAAATAGGAATCCGTGCAAACTGAGCATTTAGCAAAGATAGAATGATAATACTTTTTCACAATACAGGTATCCAAAGAAATGCTGTACAAACATAAGTGAACGGAGGTATAGTGTCATGCCCATGATACAGATGAAGAAAATCTGTAACATGAAAAACGGAATCCAAGAATACAGCAAGAGAAATGCGTAATCTCATGATAATGTAACCCGGTGACTTTGAGGTCGTGTTGCCAATATACGCGTTCCAAGTCTGTTATCATCATGGTTGCAATTATGCCGCAGGCAAGACGTACGAACCCATTAGGTTATTCAGCAGTTTGCTTTGTGTCCCAAGGGCACATTGGCCTGTCCTGTCATTGAAGTTTTTTTGTCTTCATCCCGTCATGCTGCTCCGTGACGTGAACTGCGCCACATGCCGAAGTAAAATACTCGTTTATAAGGTATTTTCACAGTGCATTAGCTCTTGCCTCGTTTGATTATATTGACATTTATTCGATTGTATAAAAGAGCATATCAGATTCATTTTTGTATGACATAATCATAATATTATTATAAGATAGGTCAGGATTTACTGGGTAGGGATAAGTTAGGCTGGCAACCGTTATAGCCTAAATAAGGCATAATGAATTTAAGTGCCGTTGGAGTGGTGCCCTCAGGAGCCAGTGAGGAGACATCCGGGGTTCACCCCAGTCAAGGCTACTCTATTTATTGACGTCCCTTCACCTTCTCTTCCTACGGGTTATTCATGCCCGTGCCAGATCTTGGGTGGCTTAATCTTCATCAGTCATCAATCATTCTTTCTTTCGTATTGCTATCCATATCACATTTCCTTATTCATATTTGTAAGTTATTTTTATATTTGTATGTACATTGCATTTTCTTATTAATACATTTGTGATGCTCCTATGCTTATGTTACTCTGATTAATCGTTAGAAATGTAAATAACAGCGTAAGATCCACTTGTATTAAGATAATGTTACAATTTAAGAATGAGAGTGCAAAGGCTATAAGGGTCCAGCAAGTGTATGCAGGAAGCAGCCTACCACTTGACTGTCATATGACTAACCTTCACTAAAACCTTTACGGTGAATGAAAAATAGTTGATTGTACGAATTTATTATTTATATATTTCTTGGGTGAACAATATATAGGTATTTTTGGTGTGAGTGGAGCTGGTAATACTTTTATTTGCCACACAAGATTGGTATATTTTCATGAAGTTATCATTTTCGGGAATTTAAATAAAACAAACATTTGCCATAATAGATTTTTGGCTGCTTAGACAATAGCTCGGTTTAATGCTGACGTTAACTGTATCGTAATTCACTGAAGTAATACATTCAGCAATGCAGAATTTGAATCACTTTCATAATCAGGTTTATCAAAAGCTTACACACACGATCTCATAAATTTTATTGATATTTTTTTTTATTTATTTACAGCAAAAAAGTCCAACAACCGAAAAAATATGTTGTCTTTTGGTTTAGATGTCCCGGGATATCCTTTTATCCCAGGAATGTGGTGTTGATGTCCTGATGTCCCGGGATATTCTTTTATCTCAGGAATGTGGTGTTGATGTCCTGATGTCTCGGGGTATTCTTTTATCCCAGGAATGTGGTGTTGATGTCCTGATGTCTCGGGACATTCTTTTATCCCAGGAATGTGGTGTTGATGTCCTGATGTCTCGGGGTATTCTTTTATCCCAGGAATGTGGTGTTGATGTCCTGATGTCTCGGGGTATTCTTTTATCCCAGGAATGTGGTGTTGATGTCCTGATGTCTCGGGGTATTCTTTTATCCCAGGAATGCGATGTTGGTGTAGATGTCCTGATGTCCCGGGGCATTCTTTTATCCCAGGAATGTGGTGTTGGTGTCCTGAGGTCCCGGGGCATTCTTTTATCCCAGGAATCTGATGTTGGTATCGATGTCCGCAGCGTTGGTCTGTCTATTGCAGAGTCTTATGATCTTGTTCATATTGCGCCCCTGGCGAGCCTCGTGCAGCGCCACCAGCAGGAGAATTACCTCGTGACGACTAGGTGTACACACTTGGTACACCTCCGAGCTGTGTATATATGTATTGATGTGTGAGTATTTGTCCGTTACGCCTGAACACTAAGGGAAGTACACACCTGCTGAACATTGACATAAGGGAAGTAGTACACACCTTAACACTAAAGGAAGCTGTTTATTAGAATTACAGATGGAAACTTCGTGTTAGAATGAGTTTATTACCGTGAGAGTTAACTATATAATCTACAGATATCGGTGAAACCACGATCAGGTGATAAACGTGCTTAGGTACTAGAAGGGTTATCAATGAGTGAAACAAGTCATTACTGGTGTGTAGAGAGAGGGGGGAAGACACTTAACTATGAGTGAGGGGCTATTATACTGGTTTGTTGTACATTTACCGAATCAGCCATTAATCAGTTTGATCCGTCTGCAGGTCGTGTGGTATTAGAGACTAATCTAGCCTAACCTAGCATAATTTAACCTAACCTAACTTTATCTAACCTAGCCTAATCAAACCGAACATAATTTTACCAAATTTAACCTAAAGTAAGCTAGCCTAACCTCACCTAGTATATGGTCCATTACCCACTAAAGAAGAAGACTTTAAACCATTTGGATAGTCTTCCAGATAGTTAACTATCCACCATAACTGGTCATCTAAATAACGTATGCCTCTTAGAACGCTCAAACAGACATGTGGCTAAACAACCCTTTGCACTACAGTCTTCCTAACCAGATACATTGTGACAAGCACGTGGGTCAATGATCTCAGCTGCAAGAGATGGTGCAGTAATACCGGCCAGAGATAACAAAAAATGCAAATGGAGTCTAATTGAGTAGACACCAATTCCATCAATCGGGAGTCAGTGATAGCAGCCAAACTTATAAACTCTTAAACAATCATTGATGACTTAATAGGGATGCTCATATTCACAATTCTAAGAGCACATTGAGCAAGGAAACAATCAAACTATTCTCCTCCTAGAACAAGGAGCCAGAAATGCGTCACAGGATGGCACCAGTTTTTGTTAAGAGCCGTGTTGATCCCTGTAATGAGATAATGAGAGGCTGGCGACGCCTTCACTATAATTAGTAACATTCCTTTCAGATAACAAATGAGAGTAAACCACGAGTTGAAAACCATGACTAATCTACCCAAGTTTAACCAATTGTGATGATAATGACGAGTTGAAGATTCATGGAAAGCAGCCTAGCAATCATCACACACTCAACAATGCCCTTCAGCTCCTAGATGAATGTCAAGCTGAAAACCGAAGGGTAGTTGATGAAATCAGGAGAGTTGTGAAAACTATAGTCAGCCTTGAATGTGAAGGGTGATCAGGTTCCTGTAAACCCCCACGTGTATAGGAATGTGTAGAAAGGAGAGTTGCCAGCAGCTGAAGGTGTAAGGATAGACCATATTGAATATTATATCCCTCATGACTTGTACAAATCAGAGCTATAATATGAAAATAGTATCGAGACAATGAAGATGACAGAGAAGGTGAAGAGCAGTGAAGTTGCATTTTTGTTTCTCTTTAATAAAAATTGCTGCATTCGCTCTGGCACAGCATCGTCGCGTATGTTAACTTCATCCAGTACGGGAGGATGAACTACTTCGTCCAGTACATCATCCAGAGGGGTCATCTCGTGCCAATTATGACTTCATCACGGCTATTGTCGGGGTAAGAGTGGCGGAATTGTGCTGGTCCCGTTTTTGGGAAGCACATTTAGTTAGCCAAGCCTCAAGTTTGACCCCTGAGGAGGCAATCGTATGTGAATTATTTGTTTCAATGTACGTTAGTTGCAGGAGTATAATGAATTATTTGTTTCAATGTACGTTAGTTGCAGGAGTATAATGAATTATTTGTTTCTATGTACGTTAGTTGCCGGAGTATAATGAATTATTTGTTTCAATGTACGTTAGTTGCAGGAGTATAATGAATTATTTGTTTCAATGTACGTTAGTTGCAGGAGTATAATGAATTATTTGTTTCAATGTACGTTAGTTGCAGAAGTATAATAATTTCCTCATAGTAAAAAACTCATATGGTTGACACATTACCAGCCAAAATGAAGGATACCTCTCTGTCCTGTATCCCTCGGACATCGACTTTAACGCCATAAATGAGTTGAATCGTAAATAGTTTTGGTTCCTTCAGTATATATTTGTAAATGTTTGCATTATTGTTTGGCAATATGCTCATTTGAGACAGTTCATCGAGTCCCAGGTGTGTCTAGGTAAAAGTGATAGAGGTTGACAGGATGAACAACCCAGTTGCGTTTAGGTACAACTGACAAGATGAACAGCCCAGTTGCGTCTGGGTACAAGCGTCAGAATGAACAACCCAATTGCGCTTGGGTACAAGTTACAATGAACAACCCATTTGCGTCTGAGTACAAGCGAGAGGATGAACAACCCACCTGCATATGGGTACATATAACAGGATGAACAATCTAGGATGAAGCTCTGAAAAGCTAGTTTGAGTACATAGTTATGCTGTGTTCTCGTACAGTGCTGCAGTGCGTGGGTGCACGTGTCCCTGCGTGCCCTTGCGAGCAATGTCTAGCCGTGCCAAGCTTGCGGCCGGCTGTACCCACCCCACCTGACAAAAACTGGCTGGCCAACCCCCTGACCACGCATGGCTACAGCGCTGCCAGGCTCGGGGGAACACCCCGGCATCTTTCGATTTTTTCCCCCGTAGCTTAAAAGCTTCCAGGAGATACTACAGTAGAGTCCAGGATGTTGATAGCCTCTTGGTGAAAACATTACCGGCCTCTGACGTCAAGTACATCGCAGTTTGCTTTGTTTCATACTGTATAGCACAAATGTTTCGTGATGATGTGTGTCAAGGTAACCTGCGATACAGAGATGATTTAGCTCTGAATGGAGTGAAACCAGAGTGAAACCAACATGCAGGAAGCCACAGGTTTTGGTAGTATGGACGCAGGTTGGTGTTAGAATTATTTGGCTATTTTTTGAGAAATAAGAAAAAAATACACATGGTACATATGAGTCTTGTATGTTATATTCATTGCAAATATTGGTTGGATTTTTACTTTCCTGTGGATTACAACTTGCAAGGGAAACAGTAGGCAAAAGGTAAATTACGTAAGCCTATTATAAAAAACAAGTAGCCTAGCCTAGTAGCCTATTCCTAGCCTAGCCTCGTAGTTATATTGAGGTTACGGTCTGGAATATAGCATTAATAAAAAGAGTAAAATAAATAAACACGATATTACAAATAAAGTGAAATATGACTTCCATAACGAGAAGAACAAATGTACAAAATTTCCGCCTACTGAAGACCGGTAATTCAGCTGAGCGCTTTGATTGGTCAGAACTGACAGCTAGTGGTTCACCACGCAACCTGTAACTGAATCATACTGGATATTAACCTAGACAGAAACAGCATACTAAATGTGTGTGTGTCTAGACTCTCTAGGCTCACCTAGGTGTTTGTTGCAGAGTTGAATGTGAGCTCCCAAGACCCGCCTTCCTGCAATATCTCTGGTCTCTAGCTTTAACCTATTTCATTTGTTTAGGACTTTGCTGGGTTATGCCTGACATCCAGGGTGAGCTGCTGGCTTGGCCTGTGGCTTTGATCACATCCAGTTCCTTTAGATATTTTTGTAATTTCATGTGATGATAGTTGCATTTCGGTTACTATTTTCAGCGCGGGTGTTTACATCATGTAGCGTGTCAGGTTTCGACTTGAAAAACTTCTGACATTTTTTTTTTTTTGCTTTAAGTACTTCGCATACTTCCTTATTATTCTCGGTGTGTCTCTCCTCTCATCTGTAGAGTTTGACCATGTGGTTATTCACAGACATAAGGATTCACATCATGTGTCACATGATGTGAATCACATCATGTGTCATTCACATCATGTATCTCCACCACTTACCTGATCCATATGTAATCGATCCGTACTCTTGTATATGGCGTGGTCCTAACCCTGGTTTTTTCGAAGGCTATGTATTTTTTTCATGCTTTATTACTTTTTTTACCTCCTGGTTTTGTATATTTTTGGGGAAAATGCTCTTCTTGGTTCCTTGCTTTCTAAGAGGCGGTATATATCTTTTTTTCAGCGTCTTTGAATGTATTTATTTATATATTTTTTTAAGTGCTCTTCCCAGTTGTCCTACTGCCTACATTGCCACTACATATTTATTGATTAAAGCACAGTTGTCGCCTGGCTTTCATGTGTAACTCTTGTTCGATGCTCTTAATCCAGCTCATTCTATGTGATGACGAGGTTTAGCTCTGCTGCCAGATCTTCCTCCCTTCTCCATATTTATTTTTTGACATATGTCAGGGAGTTCCTTTCTTCTGCGTCCAGTCACTTGGGCTGGACGGTAGAGCGACGGTCTCGCTTCATGCAGGTCAGCGTTCAATCCCCGACCGTCCAAGTGGTTGGGCACTATTCCTACCCTCCCTCCCATCTCAAATCCTTATCCTGATACCTTCCAAGTGCTATATAGTCGCAATGGCTTGGCGCTTTTCCCTGATAATTATCTCCCTCCTTTCTTTTGCATTTATTAGCATTACTTTCCATGTTTCTTCTTCTCTCTTCGTTACTTTGTTTCCCAACTTATTTTGGTCATGATTGAAGTGTTTCTTCACTATTAGCTGTCATCTCAGTCTGTGGCCAGTAACTCCTTGGACACTTTATATACAGACTCTGTGTGTGTTGCAGACAGTAAGTCACAATAACGTGATTGAAAGTTAGACTCAAGTTAATCAAGTGATTGAAAGTTAGACTCAAGTTAATCAAGTGATTGAAAGTTAGACTCAAGTTAATCAAGTGATTGAAAGTTAGACTCAAGTTAATCAAGTGATTGAAAGTTAGAAAGTTAGCCCATATATCCGAAAACATAGGAAGTGACGACGTTTCGGATTGTCTCGGACCATTGATAATGGTCGACGACGGACCGAAACGTCGCTAATTCCTTTCTTAGATTTGTGGGTTTGATGTCTGTTCATGTTTTTTATGTTCTTGGCTTGGTCTTCTGTGGTTCTCTGGGGGGGGGGGGTTGTAGGTAAACGCCACCACCACTTTCTCTCCATATATTAAAAAAGACTCTCACTGTATAGTTCATATAACTGTTTATATATTTAATAATGATATCTTTATAAATGCTGTTTCTTGTGATCATCAAAGTCATCCCCACCTCCTCCTCCTCTCCTTGACCAGTTCTCTGCACTTTATCTGATAATTACTGAGGGAGGTTGCATTTCTGATCATTTGTTTTAGTCTTCGCTACTGCTATTACGTCGGGTTACGTTTTCTATCCTTCGTCTGCTTTATTCGACAGACTATCTGCATTGATGTAACAGATAAATAAGATCATTTCTAAGACTACTCATAGTCCAGTCGATAGTGTCGGCCTCACACGAGTGGGGTCCAGGGTTCGAGACTCATACAGCTCAGGTGAATGGAATGTAACAGATCTTTAGACTAGTTGCCGAGCGGACAGCACGCTGGACTTGTGATCCTGTGGTCCTGGGTTCGATCCCAGGCGCCGGCGAGAAACAATGGGCAGAGTTTCTTCCACCCTATGCCCCTGTTACCTAGCAGTAAAATAGGTACCTGGGTGTTAGTCAGCTGTCACGGGCTGCTTCCTGGGGGTGGAGGCCTGGTCGAGGACCGGGCCGCGGGGACACTAAAAAGCCCCGAAATCATCTCAAGATAACCTCAAGAAGATAGTTCTGTTGTCTGTTTGGAAACTCTAGGGGTAAGATACTGGTTGAATTCAGATATAGGAAGAGGTAGGGTGGGGGCGTACGAGGCAACAGGGAAGTACCCAGACGACTTCTTGACAAGGACCAATGGTACCCACACAAGGGGCAATAGCTTCAAGGTCAGTAAGCCACAATGTTGGGCTGTAAACAAGAGCTGCTTTTCACCCATAGGGTATAGACCCGTTGAATTGCCTTACCGCCAAAGCCGTGAAATACAGCCCCCGCTCATGTGCCAGGTAAGTCCACTACGGGCTCACCATAGCCCGTGCTACTTGGAACGTTTGGTTCCGAGTAGCTGAATATAAAACAACAACAGCCAACGTCATATATACCAAGACAAGAAATAAGATGGATTTAGAAAAAGTTTAAAAATAAGATGGAACAAATCATAAAGAACAATGGGGGTAGGAGGACCTTCAACAAGCCTCCAGCTTCCTGTGCCGTTCGAGGCCACTAGAGACAGTGGCCTTCAGGTAAAATTCGGTAAAAAGAACTATTTGGAACAGTGGCAGGCGGTTGATAAAAGGAAGACAATGGGTGGACAGGCTCCAGAGCCTGCCCATACAGAGTATGGGCAGGCTCTGAAGGTGGACCATAAGGTTAATAATCCCCGTCAAACTTGACATTGCAGCTCCGTCTCTTCCTGGTAGGTTATATTGCATGCTGGTAGCCTCTCCACCCCTCTGCTGCGTGGCCTCCCTGCTGCCTCTCTTCCTCATGCTGCCGGGGTGTGTGTGTGTGTGTGTGTGTGTGGCGGGATCAACACCTTTGACTGTATTTTTTTTTTTTTTTGAGATATATACAAGAGTTGTTACATTCTTGTACAGCCACTAGTACGCGTAGCGTTTCGGGCAAGTCCTTAATCCTATGGTCCCTGGAATACGATCCCCGCCGCGAAGAATCGTTTTTTCATCCAAGTACACATTTTACTGTTGCGTTAAACAGAGGCAACAGTTAAGGAATTGCGCCCAGTAAATCCTCCCCGGCCAGGATACGAACCCATGACATAGCGCTCGCGGAACGCCAGGCGAGTGTCTTACCACTACACCACGGAGACTGCAACATTGGTATTCTTACCAATACGTCCCAACCTTCACTTCCTTCTCCAGCTTTGTCCTCCCTCCTTGGCTCCAACATTTTGTTCAGCTGTTGTGGGCAGCATTCAGGGAAAGGTTAGTGATAGGCCTAGGGAGACCCCCGATAAGCCGACCAGGCCTCCACTTCATAAACAGCGCCAGTCAGCTCCTCTTGTTCACCATCAGCACCAGTTACACATCCCAAATGCTCTACCAACCATCCTTACTCTCGTTAGACATATATAAACAGACTGAGATCCTATATTAGGTATTAGATCCTATATCTACGGCAGGGTATTGTATTAGATCCTATATCTACGGCAGGGTATTGTATTAGATCCTATATCTACGGCAGGGTATTGTATTAGATCCTATATCTACGGCAGGGTATTGTATTAGATCCTATATCTACGGCAGGGTATTGTATTAGATCCTACAGCAGGGTATTGTATTAGATCCTACAGCAGGGTATTGTATTAGATCCTACAGCAGGGTATTGTATTAGATCCTACAGCAGGGTATTGTATTAGATCCTACAGCAGGGTATTGTATTAGATCCTACAGCAGGGTATTGTATTAGATCCTACAGCAGGGTATTGTATTAGATCCTACAGCAGGGTATTGTATTAGATCCTACAGCAGGGTATTGTATTAGATCCTACAGCAGGGTATTGTATTAGATCCTACAGCAGGGTATTGTATTTGATCCTACAGCAGGGTATTGTATTAGATCCTACAGCAGGGTATTGTATTTGATCCTACAGCAGGGTATTGTATTAGATCCTACAGCAGGGTATTGTATTAGATCCTACAGCAGGGTGTTGTATTAGATCCTACAGCAGGGTATTGTATTAGATCCTACAGCAGGGTATTGTATTAGATCCTACAGCAGGGTATTGTATTAGATCCTACAGCAGGGTATTGTATTAGATCCTACAGCAGGGTATTGTATTAGATCCTACAGCAGGGTATTGTATTAGATCCTACGGCAGGGTATTGTATTAGATCCTACAGCAGGGTGTTGTATTAGATCCTACAGCAGGGTATTGTATTTGATCCTAGGACCTGATGCCTACCTGGAAGTGGTTCGGAACCTGCGAACAGCTCTCTTTTCGTTGCCTGGGCGAACCGTGGGAGGTGCTCCCACCAGAGTAGACAGAGGGATCACCAGCTGGTCCACTGTGGGAGACAGAAACATCAGCAGCTGGTCCACTGTGGAAGACAGAAACATCAGCAGCTGCTCCACTGTAGGAGACAGTGTCAGCAGCCTCTGGCACTATCTCCTAAGGCGCTGGAAGAGGTCAAGTTAGGATATCACGTATTCACACTGAATGCCTATCTATCTCCACATAATCATATGACTTCCCTCTTCGCGTGATAAGATTTGGGCTGCTAATCAGAACGTGTGCACCAGATGCTGTATACAAAGAACTAAGCGATCAGAATGTGTTGCAATTGCATGACAGCAATCAAGAAAGATTCCCCCCAGGCAGCGATGATTGAAGGTTGTGAAAATGAGAACACGGCGTATGATGAGTTTGTCATCACTAGATGCTGGTGTTGTGAATGTTGTGAATACAATCTGGTGATGATATCTTAAACTGGTGGCTATTATGTAAATACTCAATGATATCTTAAACTGATGGCTATTATGTAAATACTCAATGATATCTTAAGCTGAATTACGTAAATTTATCTGAATTTACCTGAAGGTCGGTATCACTACTGTGGCCTTGACGGGGACAGGAAACTGGCGGCTTGTCAAAGGAGTCACCATTGTTGCTGAGGATTTTTTTCTTTCTGAATTTTAAACTAAATTAATGTCTTGACATTTACTGCTTCAGCGGGTAGGCGGTTCCATGGGTTTGTAATTCCCCCATGGGTGGAAAAAGACCCGTTTTCAGTCCTCTTGCAGATTTTTGAGCTTGAATCTGTTGTTCTGCGCATGCGTTATATTTAAATTTTAACTGTTCCAGTAATTACTCTTGAATTAATATTCTCCAACTTGTTCGGTATTTTATTTATGTATTTTATTTTTATTTATTTGTGTATACATGAGTTCTTATATTCTTGTACAGCCACTAGCATGCGTAGCGTTTCGGACGGGTCCTTAATCCTATGTTTCCCGGAATACGACCCGCCAAATCGTTTAAGAAACAGGTATACCCATTTTATTGTTAGGTAAACAGAGGCTACTGTTTAGGATTGATGCCCAGTAAATCCTCCCCGGCCAGGATACGAACCCAGGATAAATCGCTCGCTAAACGCCAGGCGAGTGTCTTATCACAACACCACGGGTTTAACGGTCACGGTGAGGTTAGCCTAGTGATGTCTGGTTTACATTGTCGTAGTCCTGTGGACTTAAAGTGATGTGAACCTCGGGAGGGTTGTTAAGTAACACAGTAACTAACTAACCAACCAGAAAGTAAACTTTAATCCTAAACGTATTCCAATACTACAGCTAAACTCTCAAGGATATTTACACCGAGAAATATAGGGTCCACTTCTCGGTGTTTACAACCCTTACGGGCTATTATGTAAATATTGTAGACCCAAAACTTACATTGGTCTACCACCTACCTTAGTGGGTTTTAAGACCAGGGACTTCTGGGAGCCACGGTGTGGAACTGAGAACAGGGGGATGCTTTTTCACCCACAGGGCGATTAACACATGGAACCGCCTACCCGACGAAGCCGTAAATGCCAAAACTGTGTTAGCAATTTTAAAATCCAACTGGAAAAGATCATGAGGCCAAATAGGGAGACCTTTGACAATCCACCGGCTTGTCAAAGGTCAGATTATTAGACCAAAGAACCCTTTTTGATTTAGACGTAAGGTAATTCTAATCTATAACCTTAATTGCTAGTGAAGAGAATATGAAGGAATAAGCCTGTATCTCCCGGACTGTCTGAAATAAAAATGAATCGAAGATAGTAATAATAATAATAATATAAATAATAATAATATTATGATAATAATATAAAACTTTCCCTTCCCATCCCTTTGCACTTTCCTGGAAATATTTAAAATAAATAATGTTTATTGTATTTTATTTATTTCTATAGAAGAAAGTACATCGGGTTGTGAGAGTACACACATTTGTTATTGTTATAATTATGTAAAGCCATTAACACACACACACACACACACACACACACATTAGGGGGTGATGTGGTGGAGGCTCACTCCATACACAGTTTCAAGTGTAGATATGACAGCCCAATAGGCTCAGGAATCTGTACACCTGTTGATTGACGGTTGAGAGGCGGGACCAAAGAGCCAGAGCTCAACCCCCGCAAACACAACTAGGTGAGTACAACTAGGTGAGTACACACACACACACACACACACACACACACACACACACACACACACACATATACACACACACACACATACACACACACACACGCACACACACACACACACACACACACACACACACACACACACACACACACACACACACACACACACACACACACAACCACACTCAACCCCCGCAAACACAACTAGGTGAGTACACACACACACACACATAGCGTTTTGGGCAGGTTCTTAAGCTAACACTAAATAAATAACAGGTACATTAAAACAGAATTTGAATTCAACATAATAACTACATTATAAAGTGATATTATACTGGTGAAATTGTGTTAAGTACTAAATTGGGTGATTATGAAGCACAAGATACAGTGTGAGTTAGTAGCACAAGGCGGAAAGTACATAAGAGAGTGAAGCACCTTGTTATTATTCACAATAAGTCGTTAATTATAACTTATTTGGATCATATACCAACGCTGAGATGAAGATAAAACGTTCTAATATTTAAATATTTAAATCTGGAACAAATAATTTAGTTTAGTTTATCATGTAAGTCACTGTATCATGTCATGTAAAGAAAGAAAATGTAAATATAAGTTTAAAGTTTAATTTAAAGGGTATATTTTACTAAATGTAAATTCTTATAGTTTCTATAATCAAAATCGTCACCTCAGCAAACTCGTAGTACATTTAACCTTCGTTCTCGATTCACAGTCTGAAATCACGGGTTCGATTCCCAGACGGGGCAGAAAAGGTTAAGCACATTTCCTTTCACCAAATAATACCTGTTCATCTAGCATTAAATGGATAACCGGACGCAGTTAGATAATAATAATAATTTACTCACAAGAGGGTATAATAAGTTGTGAGATATTACATAAGATTGGTATTTGTATAACACCATAACATAATTGTTGTGGTGTTATATCCTAGGAAGTGTCAGTAGTTCACCTAAAATTTATAATATTTATTTATTTATTAATTTGTATACAGGAAGGTACTGTGGGTTATTTTATTACAGTGGCCCTCAGGTTGAGTCTCTACCACCTCAAACTCCATATTGAATTACTCAAATCAGTTGATACTAACGTTATAGTCCTTGATCTTACAATAAATCAACGTTGAGTAACGTTATTCATGCATTATTTCCCGCTCGGATTCAATTAGAAACAGCTTTAGTGGACTATCAGTATGATATCAAAACAATTGTTGAGGAACAAAGCCACCATTTTCATTCCGCAGTAATGATACACTGTCAGTTGTAAATAAACATTGAGTGTACGTTGCGCAAATCATGAGTGCTTCCATCGTCAACAATCTTAGGAGGTAGTAATCATTATGTACGCGTTAGTGCACTACCTAGATAATCTAAGCACTACCTAATAAATTCCCTGTAACCTACCTTACCCCTCTATTGTCAACCCATGTCTGTTTTCTTAAACAACGCTGTTTGTCGACCTAATTGTGTTTGTGCTGCTTTTTCAGCCATATCCCCCCCTTTTTTATCTTTATTTTTATTTGTTCTCAACTCATTTTATTCTTTTTACTCAATTAATATTAAGTTTTAGTCATTAATGTTTTTCCTGCCCGAAACGCTTTGCGTAATAGGGGCTTTAGGCATTGTATGTACTAGCTTCATCTATAAATCGTTCAATTTATGTAAAATCTCTTGTATGTATGTACCTTACCTGAATAAACATTTTATTATTTTATTTTATAATATGGACGGAGGTATGACGGCTCGGATCTGGGAAATACTTGTGGTTCCTTCAGTCCCCCCTTCAATACGGTGCGTATCAAAGAAAACCCCCCGATAGCTCACGGAGACTTAGACAATCTGGCGCGGCCAAAGAATAAAACATTTACGAAACCTGTACATCTTTCCTTGATTATGACGGCTTTTTGTTTATAATTTTAAACAGTTTATGTGCTTCAAAATTCATAAACCAGAGTTATTATTGTTATAAGCAATCTTGTAGTGCTTTGGATCTCATAAACTGTTTAATAAATGTAAACAAAGCCTCCATGAGTAGCCTCCAACTACATCCCAAATACCTGTACTCGAGAGCTAACTACAGCCCAAATACCTGTACTTGCTCAGTACTCACGCTCACGCAGGACTGTAGGCCTACTGTAGTCGTGGCCACTGTCAGGTGTGAGGAGGTGGAGTGTAGGCCTACTGTATTGGTGGTCAGTGTCAGGCGTGACGAGGCTGGTGGCTAGGCCTACCACCACCACCACCACCACCAAGGATACCCCGGGGGCCATACTCATGCTGTAATACCATGAATATATGCAGGCGATGAGTCACAATAACGTGGCTGAAGTATGCTAACCAGACCACACACTAGAAGGTGAAGGGACGACGACGTTTCGGTCCGTCCTGGACCATTCTCAAGTTGATTGTGAGAATGGTCGACTTGAGAATGGTCCAGGACGGACCGAAACGTCGTCGTCCCTTCATTTTCTAGTGTGTGGTCTGGTCAACACCATGAATATATATTTAATTACGAATTAAACACGTAGGATAAAATGCATATATTGGAACTGTGGCATGCATGGTCATATTTTTATACCAAGAACAGCACTCAAAGCTGAAATTAATTATTAATTCATTGTGTCAGGGGACAGGTAGCCAGTTAATACAAAAAGTACATATTAGGCTTATATCGTGTCTCCCCCCCCCCCCCAGGGTCGAATTACTGACCCTCCACAGGGTGCAACCCCATAACAAGGTGACTAACTCCTTGGCATTTATTTACAGGGGCATTAGGGTAGACAGGGGCATTAGGTGATAGGAAACGCGCCCAGTCATTGCAGTTCCGCCCGGAAATGATATTCTAAAATTAGTAAAGTTCATCTAGGGGGGGGGGAAACAGTAAGATTAAGAGAGTTGTGGGACATTAGTAACGTAGGATCTCTCTCTGCTGGGCATTCAGCCGTGGTAAGACTCCTCTTGATGATGTTATTGGCCACTAAGACAATCCTTTATTCTTTAGCTGGGCAAGCCATGTTGATCGTATTGTCCTCTCTCATCGCAAATAAGTCTATACCTTGCCCGAAACGCTAGGCGTATTAGTGGCTTTAGGTATTGTATGTCCTAGCTCTTTCTGTAAATCCAACAGTATGTTTATAACTCTGCATCCATGTATGTACTTTTCCTAAATAAAATGTTATTTGTTATTTGTTATATTCGGTGTGAAATGGCGAAGCAAGGAGGAGGAGGCTGGCCATCGTAATCGATTTATAGCTTGACACGTGCCACTTTGCGGACTTAAGGTTGCTAAAAGAAAACTACCTGGATGAGAAGCCATCACTGCTGAAAGGCAAGCACTATCACGTTCAGTTGGGGCAGTATCAACATATTGTAGCTTCTCTACTATGGGGCTGCCCAAGCTGAGTGTCCAGCAGAGAGAAACCCCTGTTACCTTTCATCCCGCAACTCTGCCAGTCCTGCTGGTTGTTCAGATAGGATCACAGTGCACCTTTGGAATAACGATAGGCGGTTGGTGTGAGACTATACGTACTTACTTATTAGTACTTGCCTATTAGTGCTTATGGGGGAGTGAGATCTTGCTCTGTATGCCCCGACTCCTAACCTTGTACCTGTTGCGTTTCAACCTAACTACTCTGACTAAGATTCTTTGTAGAATTGGGCCTTAAAGTTGTGGGTGGAGGTGGCTTCCACAACTTTCTCTGGTACAACATTCCACCTGTTAACTACCCGTACAGCGTACATGTACTTCCTTGCATCTCTTCGGCTCATTTGCGTTTCCAGCTTCCACCTGCGTCCTCTTGTCCTGCTTTCTCTCAATCTGAAGAGGATTTCCTTGACCACCTTATCTATTCCCCAGAGTATCTTGTAAGTCGAGATCATATCCCCCCCTCTCTTCCTTCTCTCTAGGGTTGTGAGATCTAGCTCTATCAGCCTATATTCGTAGCTTAGCCCTCTTAGCTCTGGCACTAATTATGTTGATGTGCATCAACCTTGCCTGACACCTACAATGAGTTCAGTGTTGCATATCCAAATGATGCTGCTACCCAGTAGCAGGTAGGAAGTAGGAAGTAGAGTAGAATCTACTCATACGTCAGTCCAGCAACCAGGAGGCCTGGTCGACGACCGGGCCGCGGGGACGCTAAGCCCCGGAAGCACCTCAAGGTAAGGTAACCCACAGGAAATCAGCCACGTAGACAAAGCTGGGTCATCAGTACAATTTCCCCCCATTGCTTCAGTCATGTTTGGAATAAAAGTGCCACGAGTTCTCTCGCTGATCTGGGCTCTAGGCTCATCAAGACAACACAAGACTCAAGAGCTGCCAGATTTCTTTTCCAGTGCTCAAGTCCGGCAAAACAGAGGGGGCAAAAATCTAAATTCTTGTTTCCTGTCGCGCTATCTAAGGAGCCTGAGGAACTTGATAAATAAAAATAATAAAATATAAAAATAATAAAGGATGCCATGAGAAGAGAATAACAATGAGACGCTGATACAGTAATGGGTATTTAATATAGCAACGTTGGCACAAAGTTATTCAATACTGAATTATCACCGTAGATCATTTGTGTTGCTTGATGTCGCAAGATTAAATATATATAATCTTTAGTTTATATATTGGCGTGTTGCTTGTAGGCTGTGGGCCGTGTGGCTGACCCTCAAGTCGAGTTGGAACTACCTAGTAGAGGAGGACCTATATCTACCCTTGGTTGAGTAGGACCTAACCTGCTGGAGGTAGAGTAGAATCTACCAGCTGGAAGTAGAGTAGAATCCATCTGCTGGAAGTAGAAGTATAGTACCTACCTGCTGGAGGTAGAGTAGAACCTACCTGCTGGAGGTAGAGTAGAATCTACCAGCTGGAAGTAGAGTAGAATCTACCAGCTGGAAGTAGAGTAGAATCCATCTGCTGGAAGTAGAAGTATAGCACCTACCTGCTGGCGGTATAGGAGGACTTGCGCGGGTCGAAGGCTGGGAGGAGGAGGAGGAGGAGGACCTGCCTGCAGGAGTGACACTGACGGAGGGAACACCGAGAATGGGACCACTATCGCCGCAGGCTCCCCTTTTATTTATTTTAGACGGAGTTGCCAAGCATCGCCACGCGCCAAAACCGTTAACACACCTAATTAATAATACAACTATATCACCAAATAATCACAACAACACACATTTTTCACATGACCCAACTCATACATATATCTCAAAACTGAATGTGTTTTAAATGATTATCGAAGAATACTTCAAAAAAAATAATAATAATAAAATCCGATAATTGCGGAAAGACGAAGCAATAATTCAAATTTCCCGCCCACGCCGCCCTCTCCCCTCAGGGGCGGCCAGCGTCCCATCTCACGACAGATATGGCGGGCTGCTATTTACAATCCCGCTCTCTACTGCCTCCCCCTCACATAGATGGCTATATCGTTAGCTTGCTAATGACATGCTGGGTCTCTCGTAGCCCCGAGTTTATGAGCGAACTGGAGACGGTAGTCAGCATTGGTACACAGTCCAGAACGAATCTTAATAATTAAATAAAAATAAGAGATAATAATACTAATAACTATTATTATAATACTATTTAATTGTGTCTATAGTACTCTCCCACTAGTGCTAACTCACCAATTTGTCCTTGTTCTTGACATAATGCATTACGGAATAGACCAATCCATTACAAATGGATTGTCTATGCTTGGGGCTTGTGGGTAAGGTGGGTTGCAGGGTTTGTCTTTATATTTACTATCTAAACGTGGGTAGTGATGTCCGTAGACTATCACTTTGTTCTCCACTTGCCTTTTTTATTATTATTTTTTTAGTTATATATATATATATTTTTGTTTTTTATCAAACCTAAAAGGGGTACCACGTCTGGTGCAAGTGTAGGGACCCATAGCCTCGGAGAAGAAAATAATGAGTACTCAGAGAAGACCTTGTGGATCCTCACAATATATATATATATATATATATATATATATATATATATATATATATATATATATATATATACAAGAAGGTACATTAGGGTTTATGAGAGTATATACTTAGCGTTGATGTTTTTACATTCTTGTAAAGCCACTAGCACGCATAGAGTTTCGGGCAGATCCTTAATCTAACAGATAATATTAAGTAGGTTGTTGTTTGTTGTTAAAGATTCGCTACCTGGAACAAAGTTCCAAGTAGCACGGGCTATGGTGAGCCCGTAGTGCCTTCAATTATTCTAGCAAAATTGAAACAATTTTTACAGGTACATTGTAGGGAAATTTGACAATGATTAGTAGGTACATTTCAGTAAAATTTGAGGATTATCAACAGGTATATTATAGTATAATTTGAGGATTATTTCAAGGGTAGTAAAATATGCATTCAGTATAACAGCCATGATATAAGATGACAACAATGATTACAATGGTGAAGTTGTATAGTTTAGGTACATATAATGGAGGAGTGGGTAGCACTAGATACAGTGTGAGTTTAAAGCACTAGGAAGGAAACTATGAAGATGAAATTAGATACTTTTTGGGTTTATTTGTGAATAAGTCAAAAGTTGGACAGCTTTTCAATTCGTTAGGGAGTGAGTTCCATAGACTAGGTCCCTTTATTTGCATAGAGTGTTTACACAGATTACGTTTGACTCTGAGGATATCAAAGATATATTTATTTCCGGTGTGGTGATTATAAGTTCTATTACATCTGTTCAGGAAGAATTTCAGAACAGGGTTTTTTGCATTTAAGAACAGGGTTTTGTAAATGTAAATGACACTAGAAAATGTGTGGAGTGAGTTATGTTTAGCATGTTTAGGGATTTAAACAAGGGGGACTGAGTGTTGTCTGAAAGCAGAGTTTGTTATTGTTCTGATAAGAGACTTTCTTGGTTATGTATTGTGTTTACTAGTTGTGTTTTTGCGGGGGTTGAGCTTTGCTCTTTCGGCCCGCCTCTCAACTGTCAATCAACTGTTTACTAACTACTTTTTTTTTTTTTTTTTTTTTTCCCACACACACACCACACACACACACACACCAGGAAGCAGCCCGTGACAGCCGACTAACTCCCAGGTACCTATTTACTGCAAGGTAACAGGGGCACTTAGGGTGAAAGAAACTTTGCCCATTTGTTTCTGCCTCGTGCGTTGTTGTATGTGGGTGCTGAAGTTGAGTCTAGGCCAAGGCACTTTACATCATTTTTGTGGCTGTTAATATTGTCTATCTGGAGCGGAATTGTATTTGTGAGGTAGAGTGAGTGAGGGAGCCGTGCTGTGAGGTACAGTGGGTGGGTGAGGGAGTCTTATTATGAGGTACAGTGGGTGAAAGAACAAGACTTCACCCACCAGGGCCCCCACACTTCACCCACCAGGGCCCCCACACCACACCCACCAGGGCCCCCATACCACACCCACCAGGGCCCCCACACCACACCCACCAGGGCCCCCACACCACACCCACCAGGGCCCCACACTTCACCCACCAGGGCCCCCACACTTCACCCACCAGGGCCCCCACACTTCACCCACCAGGGCCCCCACACTTCACCCACCAGGGCTCCCACACTTCACCCACCAGGGCCCCCACACTTCACCCACCAGGGCCCCCACACTTCACCCACCAGGGCCCCCACACTTCACCCACCAGGCCCCCACACTTCACCCACCAGGGCCCCCACACTTCACCCACCAGGGCCCCCACACTTCACCCACCAGGGCCCCCACACTTCACCCACCAGGGCCCCCACACTTCACCCACCAGGGCCCCCACACTTCACCCACCAGGGCCCCCACACATCACCCACCAGGGCCCCCACACTTCACCCACCAGGGCCCCCACACTTCACCCACCAGGGCCCCCACACTTCACCCTCCAAGTCCCCCACACATCCAAAAGCCTGGCGACCAGGCTATAAGTAATTATTTTCCCCAAGAACGAGGTATTATGGAGTTTGTGGAGTTCCCTTTATCTTACCCTTCCAGACACCCGAAGCTAACGAGAGCCAATAACCCCGGACCATGTCACAAGGCACTGTTACTCCAACCCCCCCCCCCCCTTCCCACGCACACACACACACGCGCGTGCGCGAACAAACACACATGGGGCCTGACAGCTGAGTTGACAGCGCTTCGGATTCGTAGGTTCCGGGTTCGATCCCCGGCGGAGGCGGAAACAAACGGGCAGTTTTTTTTCACACCCTGATGCATCTGTTCACCTAGTAGTAAATAGGTATTTGGGAGTTAGATGGCTGCTACGAGCTGCTTCCTGGTGATATGTGGGTGTGTGTGTGTTAAGAGAGAAATTTATGTAGTAGATATAATAGAGGAAAAATAGATTGGTTTGAAAGGCGGGGTCCAAGAGCTAATAACTCGATTGTGCAGACACAAATAGTAAATACATCCCACCTCGACGCTCCGTCCATGCAACTGCACCCTAGTGGACATGATGTCACCCTCACTGACATCTCTCACGCCCACGCCTCTCCACCCAGCCTCACCCTACACCACCCAGCATCACCCTACACCACCCAGCATCACCCTACACCACCCAGCCTCACCCTACACCACCCAGCATCACCCTACATCACCCAGCATCACCCTACACCACCCAGCATCACCCTACACCACCCATCATCACCCTACACCACCCAGCATCACCCTACATCACCCAGCATCACCCTACACTACCCAGCATCACCCAACACCACCCATCATCACCCTACACTACCCAGCATCACCCTACACCACCCAGCATCACCCTACACCACTCAGCATCACCCTACACCACCCAGCATCACCCTACACCACCCAACATCACCCTACACCACCCAGCATCTCATAGCATCACCCTACACCACCCAGCATCTCATAGCATCACCCTACACCACCCAGCATCTCATAGCATCACCCTACGCCACCCAGCATCTCATAGCATCACCCTACACCACCCAGCATCTCATAGCATCACCCTACACCACCCAGCATCTCATAGCATCACCCTACACCACCCAGCATCTCATGGCATCACCCTACACCACCCAGCATCTCATAGCATCACCCTACACCACCCAGCATCTCATGGCATCACCCTACACCACCCAGCATCTCATGGCATCACCCTACACCACCCAGCATCTCATGGCATCACCCTACACCACCCAGCATCTCATGGCATCACCCTACACCACCCAGCATCTCATAGCATCACCCTACACCACCCAGCATCTCATGGCATCACCCTACACCACCCAGCATCTCATAGCATCACCCTACACCACCCAGCATCTCATAGCATCACCCTACACCACCCAACACCACCCAGCATCACCCCTACACCACCCAGCATCACCCTACACCACCCAGCATCACCCTACACCACCCAGCATCACCCTACACCACCCAGCATCACCCTACACCACCCAGCATCACCCTACACCACCCAGCATCACCCTACACCACCCAGCATCACCCTACACCACCCAGCATCACCCTACACCACCCAGCATCACCCCTACACCCCCCTACATCACCCAGCATCTCATAGCATCACGTCCAGCCTCCAGGGAGCAGCTCGAGATGCAGCCTCCGTGGTAGGAGGAGAGAGAGCGGGTCAGAGGTCAGGTGTGTGCAAGGTTCAACTTGACCTCCTACAAAGAACGTCGCTTTTCGCTCGTATGTGTTACCTAAGGCCACAAATTGTCGTACTAGATAACGGAAGGGGCTCGCGGAAGTGACGTACTGTCCCGTTTTCTGTTTTGGGTCCTCTGGTAGGTTAGGAATTTACTTTTCTTGACGTTGGGAAACCTTGGGAGGACGGGCTGCAGGGTTAGAAGTCACGTTTGTGCAGGGTTAGAGGTCACGTGTGTGCAGGGTTAGAGGTCACGTGTGTGCAGGTTTTGAGGTCACGTGTGTGTGAGGTCCCTGAGGTCATGTGTATGCAGGGGTCAGAGGTCAGTTGTAAAGAAGCAGCTGCTCTCCACAGATCCAATCAGCATCGATTATCGGCCTCATTGAAGTCTACTGCCACAACAGCAGAATATATTCATTGTCGTATTTGGCCAACACTTGTGATGAATAATTCTTCAGGCGATGA